AAGAAAAGTTCTTGATCTTGCCGTAACTTTTATCTTATCTCGAAGAGTTTCCTGGCACCCCTATCCGAAATGAGAAATGGTTCGACCCTGATCGAACTGCTTTCTGGGATTGTCCATTATGGCTGAGGGACAGTGAGGGGCGGAAGGACGATATTTGGTGAATTTTCCCCAATTTTCCCCGTTTGAAGAGGAGTGATCGGGCGCATTCTCCCCACAGAATGGTAAGTACCGCCTGGATTCACGTCCTGCCTCCGCTGAGTGTGTCGTTGTGGTGTGTTTGGGCGGCGGAGCGAGTTTTCTGCTGAGCTGTTTTTGTGCGTGGCACTGTCTCCGCCATGATCGGTCGGCCCCCACGCACCCACAGGACCTCCCGCCCCGACAAATGAATGGATCCCCGTAGCGCTCGGGTCATTTTTAACCAAAACAGTCCAAAACAACCCTCCGCAGGCACTTTCTGCACCAAACTACGGCACTATTCTCCTCCTAAACTCATGATTTGGGGGTAAATATCGGATGGTTTCTGCTGTTGAGTTGTCCGCTACGTTGGGGGTACTTCATTATTCATTGTAGACCGCCTTGTCTGGAAGGGGACGCCAGTCTTGCGCACTGCCGTCTTTCCTACAAATCGGAAACAGATGAAAGAAAGAAAGCAAAGCATTTCCCACAAGGCTTTCAGAATGTTTAAACCAGACCTGATTTGTTTGCGAGGTTTTGCGATGATGGGAAAAGCGGACGGGCCCGACCATGTTGCGGGGATAAGTGGTGAATGACCCCCAGCGAAAGTTTTCCAAGAAGTGTCAGGGGTGGTTCCCTGTTGTCTGTGAGGGGACGGCCAGGTGTGGACAGGCGGCTGGCCTGATCTTGAAGAAAGGCGCGAGTCTTAGCAGATGTCTTGATGAGATTGGTGGAAGACACAATTTGGCACAACAGTGATGACCTGAGAACATACTTGATGACCACAACAAATTTAAGAAAATGTCATTAAAATTGGAATAGTTTCTGGATTCCTACTTGGCAAGACATGGGATTCTTGGGAATTTATGATGATAACCTGACCAAGGACTCTCCTTATACTTCTACCAGGGGTCTCCCCAGGAATTTTTAGGGGAGTGGTGCTGGAATTTTTTTGGATGGCACGTAGTGCCCGACGCCGCGCGAAGCGCGGCTGTGAGGGGGGGAGAGGTCCGGAGAGGGGGGGGGATTCCCCCCCCTCTCCGTAGGAGAAGCTGTTGCATTTTACCCTTCTGAAATGCAGTTTGTAGCCTTCTCCTGCAACTTGAGTTAAAAATGTTACTAACTAAAGAGATAGAAAATCAATCCAAATTAAGTACAAATGTAGGGCATTAATGAGTATTTGTACAACAAAATATACACATCCATTTCAACATAATGATTAGTTGGTATGGTACATTGTCTAGTCTCACGCTCGTCCCCAGCGCCCGTGGAGAAGCCATAGGCATAGATCGTGGCTTAGCACAGGCTATGGAAAATAAACTTTCTTTAATGCAAATCTGTCGTTTTTGTTTTCTTTGTGCTCTCTAAGTAAAGGGTTATGGTAACACTCTGGTGGTATTGTCGTGCGCGCTCGCTAGTACGTCGTTATAACACGGCGGCGATCTGAATACACTGCATTCTTTCTACTATCGGGACCTAAAACAAGACGCAAGACTCCTATTTTGGGGTATAAAATGCTGTCACAATGGTAACATACTATATGAAACGGACCTATACAAAATACCTCATTTGGTGACGCTATGAGGGGGTACCGTTACCCCTCTACATTTGCGCAGAAGGGAGTTAGTCGCGGAAGGAACTTAGCCACGGAGGGAGTTTTGGCATTCTCCACGGACGCTGGTATAACTGGATTCAAGATGGCGCCTGCATAATTAATGAGCCGGCTGGGCCTGGCGGGAATAATGTATGCAGGCGCCGAGGGAGCTCGGCTCAACCCCGATCGCTGCCGAGCGCCATGGAAACCCGAAAGATAATCATATGCAACAGTCCCGCTACGTAACGGATCGCCAAAAATAGTCCCTGGGAGACACCGCGCTCGGTATTTCACAACAAAAACAAAGGAGAGGTGTGAGTGCTAAACATGAACCAGACTCTCTGGCGGGGAAAAGGTGCCAAAATGGGGAAATCTACATGCCAAAAGATTGTCAGAGCGGCGTTACAACGCTCTGGAATATGGCGCGCCAACAGGGTCAAAAGGAGAAAAAACACGGCGCGCGCGGAGAAAACACATTGCGCGCGAAAGAAAACCGATGGGGAGAGCGAAAAACGTGTGGGACAGATAATATAGTGTATTCTTAGATCAATCACACCACTCACTCACTGTTTTCTTATTACGATGTTGTTTTGATTGTGAGTGCTTCTATTAAATTGTAGCAGTTATTCCAATCCATTGATCCGTTAACAAAAATACTGTTGGGGGAGTCAGCGAGTTCAATTCATTAATGGCTTGATTTTTTTAGGACTGCTTGACAGAGTAAAATCGAAGAAAAACCTTAGACGTAATACGTCGTAGCTTCTGCCATTTCTGAATTTAGTTGAACGGTCCGGGCGGTCAGTCCATGTTTTTACCCTTAGTTGGTAACTAAGAACAAATCGGAGGTTCATGGGTAAATATATATATTCCCTATTGAAATAATACTCATTTATCAATGTTAGTTATGCCATGTTTAATATGTATTGTTGTTGTTTTTTTAATAGCGGCAGATAGAGCATTGAAAGTGAGTGAGTCATGGTAGTTTTTTTTCAATGCTCTCGCTGCCGCTGTTAAACATAAATGATCATAAATCAAACGAACTCACCATCAAAAACAATACTTCGTCCCCGAATTAAAAACATACAGTACGGGAATGTGTCGTTGTGTTTATGTATCAATACACAGCTTGTCACATGATAATAGATAGTATGATAGATAGTATAATAAGTAGTATAATAAATAGTATAATAGTTCAAAATACATAGTATAATAGTTCTAAACGCCGTTAAACGCAAATAACCAACCAACCAACCAACCAACTAACCAACCAACCATCAACTAACTCTCTATCTCGTGCGCAAAATGATTTTACTTCTCTCGCGCTGCATTTGTTTTTCTCTCTCTCGCAGCGGTTTCGTCCCAAACGTTTTGTTTTTTTTCTTTCGCAATGATTTTACTTCTCTCGCGCTGCAATTGTTTAATTTTCTCTCTCGCAGCGGTTTCTTCCCTCGCGTTGTGGTTTTCTCTCGCGTTTGCGATTTATTTTGTCTCTCGCTGGCTCGCTTGCTGGGCGCGAGAAGAAATCCTGCCTGCGCGCGAGAAAAAATCCTGGCGCGCGAGAAAAAATCCTGGCAAACGCGAAGGAAGGGCACTAACCGAAAATAAATTAATTACTTGCAACGCAAGCAAACGCACCGAGAAAGAAAGGCAGGTAGAAAATGTGCGAAGATGATAGCGGCATCATGTATATATATATATATATATATAATTTAGTTACCATAACTCTTAATACCAATTAATCATGCAAATAACGTTTACGTTAGTAAGTTACATAAAGACAAAAAAACCTCCCTGCTGGGATGGAATGGAATAAGCTGATTCTGGGTCAGGGGTCAACATTGGCACATGTTTACAGAGCTCGTTTACAAGGCAGAACGCGCACCGATAATCCCAACAATATTAACAACATAATCCCCTGGCAAGAAAAGTGAATATCAGTGGTATTTTCATCTGACGTCGACGCATACGTGGACTGAGTCGGTACTGACATCAACTGGGCCTACGCCTGGCCTTCACGTCGACTCCGGGCAACACTCGAGCTCGGCCCAAACCATCCTGATCCTGCTCAGGCCTTCCTTGCCGATAATTTACAGGAGTTCAGGTAAGAGTTTCTTACTTACATATGCCACATAACTGTACATTAAACTGTTCTATGAGACAATTTGAGGTCTACGCTAAATATTTTTTTCCCTAGCTTGCTATTGGCACATGGCGCAAAAAATATAAACGACGGGATGACGCTGTGCCCCCCTCCCTCCGACCACTACAACCCAACCGACCAGGTCTAAATAGTATACTAAAAGTACTAGTAATGAAAGGTGGTCCAGAGGCATGGCTGCTGAACACTAAAATTTAGGCTGGGACAACTAAAAAGACACTTTGGGACATTTTTTGGACAATGGAAAAATAATCAACATCAGAATGTCCGCCCTTCTTTTGTTTACTAATTACAGTGCTCACCAACTATTTGCATCACTGACATTGGCATAAACCTGGGATCTGCATAAAATTCTGAAAACCCAAACCATTTCCCATTCACTACATTATAAATTGCATGGCATAATTGCATGAGCTGTTATGACTTTAACCTGATATTGGACTAAAATATTTCCAGGTCAATGGCACACTGACCCAGAAATACGTGAAAGAAATACATGTAACTTGTTGTGCATCAGCAAATCCGCATGAAGTCCATTGTTATTCATTCATTATCACCCCTGCACCCTCCATTGTCATACACTTTCTCTGTTGTCACTTCCTTCTGGACAGGTGAGAACCTCCAATCACTGATTGTGTGAAAAGAAGTCCTTTGTTCCTTTTTGGTGTCCTTGGTTGGACTGTTGTTTTAGGTTTGGTAAGCTTTTGCCCAACACTATGAAGGTGGAATGTGTCTGATCTTCAATCTCCATGTTAGCCCTGTTCATTATGAGTTTCTGAATGCGACTTGAAGATTAGAATATGGTACATGTATTATTCATTTATTTATGTATAACTTCCAGTTATATTGATTTCATTTACATCTTTTGTTATGTACTTTGTATAATTTATTATTCTTTTACTTATTGTACCCCCCCTGGGCCTCCTTGGAAATCAGCTTTGGCTGAAGGAGCTACCCAGGTGTCTTTGAAGATTAAATAAATAAAAAAAAATAAAAGTTGTGGGTGAAAGTGAGTATATAAATACCAATAACATCATGTTTGTGGTTGTTTCAATTGGCCTCAGCCCAGTATCATCCATAACCAACTGACCTCCCCTCCCTGTCGGTCGTGTGGACTCTCCTAAGGTTATTGGACTAAACCTGTTATATGCCAAAAAACAGTTACTCAAGCAACTGGATATGATTTTGGACTAAACCTGTTATATGCCAAAAAACAGTTACTCAAGCAACTGGATATGATTTCAAAATCATATCCAGTTGCTTGAGTAACTGTTTTTTGGCATATCGTATTACCTGGATGTCTAACCTTCATCGACGTAAACCTGTTATAGGAATAAAATTCCCTGACAAATCGTCCATGCAAATAACAGGAGAGCACTGTATCAAGCACACATACAGTGATACACTACAGATATGCAGATATCAGGCACTCGGAATGCCAACAAAATCCTCGGGAGGGTGGGGCTGCACTAAATCCCCACATACAAGCAATTTGCCCATTCTTTAACTGACTTATACATGGCCATCTTTCCGAAGCAAGAGAAACACATTTTACACAATCATTCGGCTTTTCAAAAACCACTACGTGTAGTTTGTTTTTCTAGAAGCCACACTGACAACATCACAGCTTGTAGTACATCCTTTTGTTCACATTCATGCTGAGCTACTTTTTGCAGCCTTATGTAAGATATGCATAGCGGTTAATTTCTTGAATAAATTCTTGTCAAGGTTTACAACACTTTGCTGGCCCCACAATGCCTTCTGTTTTTTGGGTGAAAAAGTCTGAGTTGTCTGTTGAGATAGCAGCAATCCCTGACCTGATCTTGTCGGTCATGGCATCTCATATATATGCCTGTTCCCTGCTCCAACTGAATCCCTTCGCCCAGTGCCTGCCCTGCTGTCCTAGCATGTTGGTTTACTCTTTTTTAGTTTTACCATGGAGGTAGAATGGTTTTACCATATTTTGTTTTCCAAGTTTATGAATGTGTGAATCGTGTTGGACATGTTTCAAGATTCAAGTTGGGAAGACATTTCATCGTTTTAATGTATCGCTAAAAGTTGGTAGTTTCCTTGTTTCATTTTTTTACAGTGTATGAGGAACTCTTGTTATACATATGTAAGAAACCCTGAGATTTATTTTACTTCATCCATACTCATTATTCATTCTCTATTCGCTGTTCACTTTCATTGTCCAAGGAGTTTCTTTTGTTTACTTTTATAAAGATGTGCAGGAAAATTGGTTAAATTGCTGTTTTCCTGTGTTGTTATTTTTTAATTGATTTTATTGTAATGTGAATGGTGGGTGTCTCCAAGTCCAACTTAAGGTCAATTTAGTCATTGGCTAGTACATGGGCGTCTCTGACTTTGTATAATTTATTCGTTGGTTAGTTCACCCATGTCTCTTTGGGGACTGCACTATGTACTAGTAATAGTTAAAAGGATGGGCGGAGCGAGTTTATGTGGATTTGGTACCGCCCTGCCCTCCTATTAAGGATTTTCATGGCATCCCGAGGGCGAAGTTACTCACAAGAAATACAGACACCCGATTGGCTGAGGAAAGATAGCCATGTTCAAACAATAGTTAGAACATGGCCACCTTTCCTCAGCCAATCAGGAGCCTGTATTTCTTGTGACTAAATCCACATAGTGCGGTCCCCAAAGGGACAGGGGTGTACTAACCAACGAATAAATTAGACTAAGTCGGAGACGCCCATGTACTAACCAACGCATAAATTGACTAAGTTGGAGACGCCCACCATTCACATGCAAATAATTCAATTAAAAAAATTAACAACACAAGAAAACAGCAGTTTGATGAATTTCCCTGTACATCTTTATTCAAAAAGGTAAACAAAAGAAACTCATGACAAGGAAAGTGAACAACGAACAGAGAATGAATAATGAGTATGGAACTATGGATGAAGCAAAAAAATCAGAGGGTTTCTTACAAATGTCATGTATAACGAGAGTTAATCTCATACATTGTAAAAAAATGAAATATAGAAGATACAAACTTTTAGCGATACATTAAAACGATGCAAAGTCTTCCAAACATGTCTAACACGATTTGCACATTCTTAAACTTTGAAAACAAAATACGGTAAAACTAAAAAAAAGAATACACCAACATGCTTAGACAGCAGGGCAGGCACTGGGCGAGGGAAGGAGGGGTTAGAGCAGGAACGAGTCGGCCCGGGAACAGAACACTGAACAGGCCGGCAGAGACACGACCAACTTGTTTGAGATCAGGTCAGGGACTGCTGTCTCAGACAGACAACCGAGAATTTTTTTACCCCAAAACAGAAGGCATTGTGGGGCTAGGAAGGTGTTGTAAACCATGACAAGAACCGCCATGCATATTTCACATAAGGCTGCGAGAAGTAGCTCAGCTGCAATTCATGAATGAGAACAAAAGGACGTACTACAAGCTGTGATGTTGTTGGTAAGGTTTCTAGGAAAACAAACGGGTGGTTTTTGAAGAAAACAAAACATGATTGTGTAAAATGTATTTCTTCTGCTTCGGAAAGATGGCCATGTTCTAAGTCAGTTAAAGGATGGGCGAATTGCTCGTATATGTGGATTTGGTACAGCCCCGCACCCCCCTCGGATTTTGTTGGCACCCCTCGGGCTCCGCCCTCGGGATGCCAACAAAATCCTTGGGAGGGCGGGGCTGTACCAAATCCACATAAACTCGCTCCGCCCATCCTTTAACTAATACAAAACACACAGTAACCTTTCTTTCCCAGTTAATAATTCATGCCCAAGTGGATATTTATGGCGAGTGGAATCGCAGTGTCTTTTTAGTGACTGTCACACTGCATAATCTGCATCTGACATCATGTTTATGTAAGGCTTTACCATAGGATTTGTCTTCTATTACAAGTTGTAACCCTAACTGTATAGGAAATTGAATAGTCTTGTGAATAATAGTTGATGACAAGTGAATAAAACTACTAGTAGGTTGCTCTATTGAACTTTTGTTGGTTTGTTACTTAGCAGCTTGGTATTGAGAGCATTACACATGAAGTCACATGAATGAAGTAGCAATAAAGTAGTCTGGCATTAATTTTTCCACTACATGGAGTGTCCAATCTCCTACACTTGTTCTGTCTGCACTTTGACCCTATTCATACCAGACATATTTAGTGGTTTTCAACCAGTTTGTCAAAAACCTGTGGGGAGAGGGGTGTAGGCGAGGGCTCCACCGCATACAAAAATGTTGGGGGGGGGGGTGTGGTTTCTTGAAGATAAAGGATCAGTGCCCCAGTAAGATAAAGAACCTGAAGACGGCATAAAAGAAGGCCAAGGACAATGTTTGAAAGAGGGTAGGGGTAACAGTTATTCAAACTGGATATTCACCAGACAGGATTTTTACAAAACATGGTTACTAGTATGTAAAGTCTGGTATGAACGCTAAGCTGGGTTTGCCTCCGGTAATTATTTAGTGGTTTCAACCAGTTTTTAAAAGTCTGGTCTGAACGGGTCTTTGTGTTCTGTTTAAGAATAAACCATACATGACAGTTGATGCATTTGTTGATGGCTCAGAACAGCCAACAACATATGCATGTTCTTTTGATCCAAAAATGTGCAAGCTGTTATCCCCTTGCTGTCACAGATGTGGCTATAATGTGTTTGGCTAAGTCAAGGATCTTTGGTAAATGTTTAGAACAGTTCATCATCATTGTCATCATCTTTGATTGATAAAGGACTGTGAAGAGCAGTATGCAATCGCCATAGTTAAAATGTGTGCAAAACAAAGGATATGGAGGGGCTAGACGCAAACATACTTGAAAAGTAGTAATCTTAATTGTTTTACATATGTACAGTTTCTGTTCATCTAGTTATTCTAATTTGCAATGTATATGACGTACAATGCACACTTCTATAATAGGCTATGTAATTCCATTAGACTTTATAATGGTTAATAGATTTCTTTTATTGTTTGTGATTGGTATTCGATGGTTGAACCAACAGGAGTTTCCAACAACGAGTCCTCCTGGATTTGTCTCAAGAAGCAACCATTCCAGCCAGGGGGTAACCAGACTGGTCTTTTGAGGTGTCAAATACACAGGCAGATGTGGCAAATTCGTGCAGTCTCTTGAGACAAGTGACAAGGTGAGAATTAATTGCAACATCAAGATATAGTTCAGCTTGCATGCACATCCACAGCTGGTAGGTGTTCTAACATCAACTTTCCAAAGTCACCTAATGTTACCTTTGCCAGTTAAGTATGTTATATTTTTGCCAGAGTTCATGTGCATGTCTTTTCCCTTTCCTTCCATACACAATTAACTCAAGAGTGTCATGATACATGTAATTGTCTTCGTCAGAACAAGGACATTATAATGTCCTTGGTCAGAAGGACTATGAAATTGTCTCGCCGGAGTGTGGGGAACTGCGGATTTTGCGATATAACTCTGGCTGGCATGATTCGACGTCCATGATTTTTGGCAGGCAAATTACCTTTGTTGAGGCCGAAGTCAAATACAAGTTTCGGCTTCGTGGGGGGTCCGTGCGTCACGTTAGTGCACCTTTTGTGTTTGTGGCTTGTTAGCAAGATAACTCAAGTATTTGTAAAATGTTGATTATAATTCTTGGTGTGGTGCTTACTATTGTCAGGACCAAGGTTAAGTTCTTTACTGAGCTTCGTGGGGGGTTTCGTTGTGACTACAGGGGGCATTTTGTTAATTTTTCTTGTGAGCAGGATAACTTTTGTATGTGTGGATGGAAGTTAATGAAATTTGAATGTTACTGTGGTGGTCTCCAAGATTGAGTTCAAAGATGAGAGTCGTGGAGGTCGTTATGTCCCCGTAATAGGACCTTTTGTGTTTAGAAATCCCCACCTACATCTGCTTGGAGACAGCCGACAGCTGGATATAGCCAGGGAACCCCATAATGGGATGGGATCAAATGACGTTACATTGAGGGATTGTACTATAACTTCAGCAGGGGGAGGATAGGTTGGACATATGTCAGGTTATTTTCTACGGCCACACCAAGTAATTGCTATGGATGACGTCCCTGGAGACCTTAAATCTAATTACCTTAAATTTAAGGCAAGCGTGCAATAAAAACACGAAGGGCCGAAAAACGAGATGCCTAGATTTGGAATATACTAACTGTAGAAGTACAAATGTTAGGACACAAAGAACACAAGAAACAAGTCTTCTATTTGTCATAAAGACAAATTAACAAAACAGCAGTAGTCACCCTGTTCTGATTCTTTCCTTTATAACATCTTCTCTTATTGTATTTTGCGGCGCTGTCGTGACACTTTCAACACAGTAAGAAATTCTTGAATGTTTTTTTTTCCAGTAACAGTCCAAACTCAAATAACGTAGGGGGAGGGGGGGCTAACACGGGTGACGGCGCATCTGTATAATCTGTGGCAAACCGTTTCAGGGTGTTCTATACCATAAAAATAGTACATAGATTCTTTTGTTCTTTAGACCAAATTGATTATTAAAAAGAGTGAATAATACGCATGTTAATTTCTCTAGAACGATGTACCTCTGACGAAGACATGAGATCTCCGACCTCTAGTTGGTTTGTGGGTTGGTCTTCTTGAGTCCTCGAAATAAAATTATATTTTGGGGCCGGGTATGTTTCTGCAAAGTGTCAAGATGGCTGTATATATCTCGTTTACATTCTACATGTGAAATAGATACTAGTATCCTTACCAAAACTTCCTTATTAACCAATTCAAGGCAACAAACTAAGGATATACAAAACATTCAAAGAGATTTATGAAAGAGAAACATATTTATAAATTGAAAAATTCGAACATCACAGAGCCATGTGTAAACTTCGCATTAGTGACCATCCCTTACGTATAGAATCCGGCAGGCATAGCCGTACCCCTCTGAAAGATAGAACGTGCGAATTCTGTAATCATTTATATGTTGAAAACAAGATAAACTTTCTACTTGACTGTACATTATATGAAGATGAACGCAAAGAGCTTTTCGATACTTTACAATTAGACAAGATATGAAAGAAAATGTCAAAGCAGGACACATTTAAACATTTGATGTCATACAAGAACAAATAGAATACATGTATAGCGTTCCAGTATGCAATACTCATGTTTTGCATACTGCATGTCCTCTTGTGCATTTAGCCCATCTGGGCAAGAACATGCAATAAAGATTCATATCATATCATATCATATCATTATTAGTCATTTTGCCTGCTGCAGATAACAAATGGGATTATCTGTAAAGACGATGAGACCAGCTTTCTACTTATATAGTTACAATGTCATGAGTTTTCTTTATTGCATGTGCTTCTCCTGATGAAAGCTTGTACATATAGAATTTGAATACAGAATCAAATTTTCGAAAGGGGCACACGCGGTTAGGGCGAAACGCGTTCGAATCGTTTTGTGGAAGCCATGGAAGCGTTCGATAACGGGTTCCGGACCGGGCCGTACCGTAAAGTACGGCCCGGTCTGGAACCCGTTATCGAACGCCCGGGTATGATATAAAAATAATGCTTAAGCCACAACAAGCATTACAACTGTGTAATATTCTATGTTTGTTTTCTACTCAGATGGAGACCCCTGTGAGAGCAGCTGCTACTTTGCCCACCCATGAAGAGATGGCTGGCTTTTTGGATGTTATAAATGGCCTTATTGGAGAATGTACTGCTAAGCAAAGTACTCAGAATAGGCATGAGATAAGTTACATCTTAAGCAGACTTGAAGCAGCAATGAGAAATCTTGCCCTGATCAGTTCCGCAGTATCGGCTACCATGAGACAACCTTCTCCATATCAGTATGAGTACTTGGAACAAGTTTTAATAGCTTGCAGGGATCTACAGGATGATATAGAACAGATGCATACATTTTATGCCAAGAAAGGAGAGGATGTTGACTCCTACAGGTACAGAGTTTCCCAGGACTACAGCAGGGGAAGACCACGGAAGCACATAACTGAGCAACAGATCTCATACCTGCGTGAACTAGGGTTTACATGGCTGAAGATTGCTGAACTGTTAGGGGTCTCATTCAGCACATTGAAAAGGAGACAAAGGGAGTTTGCATGGGTGGGACGAGACAACTATACAGACATCACCGAGGAAGACTTGGACCGGACTGTTGTTGGCCTGAAAAGACTATTGCCCAACCATGGAGAGAACTATCTTTGGGGGTTACTGAAGTCTCAAGGAATCTATGTGACCAGGCAAAGACTTCGGGACTCCATTCACAGGGTTGATCCCATCAACACAGCTTTGCGCTGGTTTTTGACAACTTCTCGTAGGTCATATTATGTACCTTGTCCAAATGCTCTCTGGCATATTGACAGCCATATGAAACTCATAAGATGGGGTTTTGTTTTCCAGGGGGGGATTGATGGGTATTCAAGGACAATTGTTTATCTAGTATGCAACACTAACAACAGAGCTGCAACAGTGTATCAAGCCTTCCGTTCGGCAGTTGCCAAGTTTGGTGTTCCAGCTCGTGTCCGCTCCGACTATGGGATGGAGAATACCAAAGTAGCTTTATATATGCTTATTAAGAGAGGTGTGGAGAAGAATCCCTTCTTGACTGGGAAGTCGACACATAACCAGCGTATTGAGCGTCTGTGGCGTGAAGTGCATCGGTGCATAGTAGAAGTCTGGCGTGCATTTTTCTACTACATGGAGTTGGAAGAAATGTTAGATGTATCGAATCCCCTGCACCTGTTCTGTCTCCACTTTGTGTTCTGCCCCCGGATCAACAAAACTGTCGAAGCATTTGTTGATGGCTTCAATGCCCACAAAGTCCGAACTGCCCACAACTTGTCTCCACTTCAAATGTGGGTTGAAGGTACTCTGAGACTATGGAACTCAGGGAGATCTGCCATAAGGAGCATTCTCCAAGAACCAGTTGATGCCCAGACGTATGGCATTGACTGGGAAGGGCCTGTGCCGGAATTGCAGGATAACGCCATTATTGATGTCCCTCAAGGTCTGCATGTGTCAGAAGAGCAACAGAGAATACTGAGAGCACAAATTAATCCTTTGGATTTTGTTGATGATATCTATGACACTTCACAGTATGTACGGGCTGTATACATCTTGTCCCACATGATGCAATGATGGTAGAAGCCAGGCAGGGAATCGTTTGAAATGAAATACATTATAATTATTATCTATGCTATGCTATGTATTGCTATGTAAACATTCTGAACTTTCAAAACAAATGTGTATTGTATATAAATGTATGTAAATAAATAGATAAATAAAAATAAATATATGATGTGTATGAAACTGTACATATTTTTCCTGGTCTAAATCAGAGCGTGATCTTAGTGTTATTTGTTCCATGAAACCTCATGAACACTCTGCTAGCAAAAGTGTATTGTATTTGATTATCATCAAATTGCCCTACATTATTTTTGTTGTCTAAATCAAAGTGTTCCTTGAGTGTCCTTTCTAAGAACATCAATATTGCCATCTTTGAAATAGCCCCACTAACACACCACTACCAGTGATGTGATAATATTGATTTATTTTGCAAATCATGAGGAAATCTAAATCCTTCTGTTCTTACTGTTCTACAAAGACAAAGACATTACTTAAAGGGAAGGGAATTTTCTCCACACCCCTCAATGTTTTTCTTTGTATGTAATATAAACATTTAAAACTAGGTATATGATTGTTACAAAACAGTCCCAGATTATTCTGGTTTACATCAAGGTGTATTTTCAGTCAGCATTCTTGGAGTGTCCTTTTGTAACATCAATGTTGTTAATTGACATATCTTGCCAACTGTAGCTTTTGTTTTCATGGACATGTGACATCATTACAATGCACAAGTAGAACTGTTTGTACTTCAGATATTCCACATCTTAATTGAGAGAGAGATTACATTACTTGTATACCTTTATATTTGTGTTTGTCTCATAAGTAGACCTGTTTACATGTACATGTAGTACAACTTACAAGTTCCAGTGCTACATACATTGTACCAAACATACCTGCATTACTAGTATGTAGGCTTGCTGTTCAATAAATATCAGGTAGGGAAGGAAAGAAGGAAAGAAGGGAAAGACATAGAAATTGAGTTTTCCAGGCTTGCCTTTTTGTATCTTACTTAATGTAAACCCTGTAAAATTCCTTGCTTTATAAATTATATCAATTCCAGTTGAATTCCTAGTTTTCTTGGTCAAACAGATGTGTGAAAGGTTTTTCAAATGTGCTATGATTTTTTTGCCATTGAATATAGGATATGCCAAGTAAAAAATCCCATTTTACTGTATATTGCACAATTGGTTATGTATTTGCTGTGTAAATATTTACTTTACAAAGTGTCATGTTGTTGCCAGGGTTATTCTGACCATTGTGACCCAGCATTTCAGCAAATAGAGCTATCCGAGGCAATAATTGGCTATAGTGCTATTTGTCTATATAGCATGATTTTGTGTCAGTTTATTGTTTAGCTTTGATTGGCTATTGTTAATATCCCAGCATCATGTCCCAAAGGATGATTAGCACAGTGCATCAACATGAGGTGGGGCGGACTTGAGATGTATTGAAATGAATGGATGTCTGGAATTTCTGTGTATAGTGTATATATAAATATTATGAATACCATAAACTTGGTCTAACATTTTATGTCATATCAACATTAAAGCCAAGATGAATGTTTTGTAACTTAAGACTGTCTTCACAGTGAATTTTTTTGTATTATGATGTATGGCAGAAAATCCCTTTTTACTGTTTATTTTACACTTACTTAGTCCTGTATTTGCCATATAGATATTTACTTTAAATACAAAGTGTCATATTGTTACCAGAATTATTCTGATTATTGTGACCCAGCAAAAAGAGATCTGAAACAATTGTAATACAGTTGAATCTGTCTATAGTGGTCACTCAAGGGACTGAGCAAATTTGACCACTATTGACAGGTGACCACTAAGAGACTAATGTCCATATCTGATCATGAACAATAAATAAAACAGGCTTTGAGTTCCCACTGAGACATCTTTAATCAATGACATCTGTTTGCCATTTACATTGAAAAACAACAACATTGTAATTACTGTCATCACAGATACTGTTACTTAAAAGTTCTACTTAAAAAAAAAAAACACAATAGACAAAGGTTCCCTGAGTTATTGCTGTTTAGGCCTGACCCTCACATCATCGGGTAGCTTCACCCTAACCAAAAAGCAGCTGTCACAGAAGGCACGTATAGCCACTTATAGTTTTGAATCTATTATTTGCACATCAGTATATACATATATAATATATTTGACACATGTGTAAAGCTGATCCTATGACAAAGGTTATTGTAATATTTTAAAGACATATTAGATCACAATGGATAGTCCTTTTTGTGGCATTCCAATAACTCATATTGTGACCCTGAACATGTTGGGAAAATGCTGGGAAGGAGACTTAAAAAAAAACAACTATGTTACAATGTAGCCTTATAAAAGACCATGGACTTTAAGCCACTTGCTCCCCTAATATGATTTGGCAACAACATACCATTAAGACAAGAGACAAATACCCTGATGGGCGTGATTGAGGATGGTGATCCCATTGTAAAAATATACTTTCCCCTGACTTCAGTGTAGGGGAGTGTGCCCAAAGAAAAAAAACCCAAAAAAGACCCAAAAGGATGCAGTGCTATAATTTGGGGGCGTTCTCGTGAGAGCAGATGCCATGTTTAGACGCTACTACGCCAATGATGTCTACCTTCCACTCAAGAAGGTCCTGAAAGACTCTTCCAGATCTCTCTGGTTGATGGTCTTACAGCCCTCCACATCATTGGGGTAGCAGCGGCTGAACATATGGTTTTCTGCTCCCTCGATCACCTGACGGGCCAATCTGCCATTCATCACTGATCTTTGCTCTTCTGTGGTAGTTTCAGAAATCGTTTCCTCTAGGGCCCGGTTTGCCTCAGGGGACAAACTCAGGCCCATGCCTGCGACCTCATTCCGCATGATCTGGGCCAACTCCTCAACACTGTAGTCCGGGAAATGAAATTTGTAGGCTATCCGGGACTTCATTCCAGGATTAACATCCAGGAATGAAGCCATCTCGCCCGGGTAGCCCGCAAAGATCATGATGGGGTCCCCACCCTCCATCACGCTCATCAGCTCCTCCAGCGCCTCCTTCCCAACATCCCTCGAAGAGGAGTCAGCCTGTGCGAGGCGGTAGGCCTCGTCAACCAGCAAAACCCCTCCCTTGCTCTCCTGGATCTTTTTCCTTGTCACCTCCGTGGTCTGTCCGATCCACTTCGACACAAGGTCACCTCGCTGCACAATGGAGGGTTGGGGTTTATTGATGATGCCAAGGCTGCAGAGGAACCCTGTATTTGAAAAAAAATGATAGGAACATAGCATAAGGAATTGGCTCTGACAACTTTTTGTTAGATAAGTCAAATGATCTTGTCAGGAAAGTTTGTACGACATGATATTAGTTCCAGTCAAAACTGGCCACAGCCAGTGGAATGAAAGCACGTATGTCTTTGGATAGAGGTTGCTGAGTGTCAAAGGGTGTAAAAGTACATTTTTAATTAGCATTAATTGGAGAATTAGAACCAAGGGAACAGACATACTGCCTTCAGTGGATCTAGCTATGCCTCAAAAAAAGAAATGTCTCTATTATTCTCCTTTATTATTTTATATTAGGTAAGGTCAACCTGCTAAAACTTACTTTTTGACAGTGTGGTGCAGATATTATATTATCAAATTCAATTTACAGATAGCCTAATGGCCCCCTTTAGCAAAATTTTAAATCTGAAGCCAAATATGGTACCATTATAATATTAAGACATCCATGGTGTGGTTTTCCTTTGATGCACACGATCATGATAATGATCATTCTGGCATACTCATGTTTACCTGAGCGAAGTGAGGAAATTCGTATTAAGTGTCTTTCCCAAGGGCACAAGGTTGGTGACTTGGCAGGATTCAAACCCCACAGATCAAGGTTAAATCGTCAAGCGGCCCAAATTTGCGTCCCATGTGTCTGTGCGGAACCCCTCCATTGAGTAAAACCCACTTGCTATACACCATTTAAAGCGGAGAAACTGCTTGTTATGCGTGTTCTTTTTGAAAACCTTGTAATATCAAGGTTGAAAATAAGTGCCGTCAAAATTTTCAAGTTGGTGGTCAGAACATCTTAAAATTTGGCTACAAAAAAAAGAACCTAAAATGTACCTTGTTTTGTTCTCTAACCTTATATATGTGGGGTACTTTATATCAATTAGATGGATTTCAGTGCTCGAAATACACGGTACAAAATTGTATGTTGCCAAAAGTTTTATGTGCAATTTGAAAAATTTACGTCCAAAATTACATTCAATTGGTTAGGTTGATTCAAACTGACCTTCCTTGTTTGTGTAATTTGTATGCTGTTTCAAGAAAAAAAGGACATAAGAATAAAAAGCCTGGAAACATGATGAAAAATTCTAGTATTTCTGTGGCATTAGCTTTAGCCAGTGACACCCCCGCCTCTCCCATTCACCGTGCCACAAACACAACTTGGCACTTCCACAATTTATACAGTACATAAAGAAAATCTTCGAACAGTTTGGGAGCAATAAATCATTGTCATTTTGCATATTCAGTGTTAACCTCGATTATCAAGCTGGACATATAGCAAATTGCACATTCATCTTTTGGTGCAAATCTTGAAAATCATGTGCATTTTCCACATTGCACGTGGGTATTTCGAGCTATGGTTTTGCTGCTATGTATATACAAGCGTGAGTCAACAAAGATAAACCGTACCTGTCAAGGCTGTAGCTACGGAGGTTTTCCCCGTCCCAGGGTTGCCCACGAACACCATGTGCAGCCCCTGCCGGCCTTTCTCCCTGCCACACTTTCTTTTCATGAAGACTGACTTCGCAAAGTGCTCCAGGTGTCCCTTTAGCGAAGTCAGTCCCACGAAGCCATCAAGAGTTTTCAGCAGGTCTAAAATGAGAAGTAGATAATCAACACACGTGTCCTTTCTATGATGAAATTCTCAATAATCATGCAATTTAGCTCCAATATATTCACACATACCCACAAGTCCCACTTTAAGGTCAGCACTCCACTCCAGAAGTGGATATTATGATTCATCAGAGAATAATGTGTATAAGGCTTGAATCCAGTTTTTTTTCCAATTTACCATAAGTTGAAGCCTGCATGCAGGATGAACAATAGCCAGTGTTCTCACCAGGTCTATTGAGCATAGCCCCCCCCCTCCCCTATGCTGTAATTTGGACCCCCTATGCTGTGATTTGGACCCCTATGCTGTCTTTTAACCAGGGTAGGGGTGTTTTTGGACGGACGACCTTAATAAATCTTGCAAAAAATGAAAATATAACTTTAGAATGAAACTATAGCAAAGGGAAAACCTGACGGCTAGACATAGACACGAAGTAAGACTGGTCTAGACCCAAAAAGTTAGGGTTGGCGCCCTCACCGCCAAGGATGCATGTCTCAACACATTGTATCTATCTATCTGTCCTACATGAGAGGGGATGGAGCATGTATTTGTATGTCTACATAAATATATGATTTCTACATGATAGCAAAAATTCTACTCTTCATACTTACCATCCACAGCAGTCTCGCTGAACGTACTCTCTGCCCTCTTGTGACGTTTTTCTAATAAGAAGAAAACAAACAGTTTATTTAGCTGTCCATCTAAGTTTCTTTCATATGTTTTGGGGAAAGACGTGTTTATGGATACTGAAACCTATATGCTACTGTAAATGGCGACTCAATATTTACGAATGTACAGTGTGATATTTTGTGATGTCACAAGTATGGGGAAGTGTGTAACTATATGAATGCTTGATGGATTCTGAAGCTGTGATAGGTTAATTATTAGCCTGGTGGATAGCCTGTTGTAAAAGCTGTGATACCGGTACGTGTTTCCTGGGAAGATGTTAGAAGGCAAATCTGCCCCACCCCCCCAAATACATTGCCCCCAAAAAGGAGACTGCACTGTTAGGAATGTCTGCAAAGGAGGCAAAGTCCTTCTTTTGAATTTCCTCTGAGAAAAATTTGATCCAATTTGTAGACTTGTCAGGCACATGTGGGGTCTGAACTTTCCCACTTTGGTCAAAAAGTTAAGTTCGCCTGTTTCGTTGGTGCAGGGGAAAGATCTGAGTTCAGTCTGGCCACATCCTTGAGAGGATGAATACCTGAAATACCTGAGAAACTGGGCTCAATATATACTCATTACTACAATGTATAGGGATCTTGTTTTAAGCCCCCATTTGTATGATAAAGACATTATAGATAGTGTGTATGTGGAGTCTCAGGATTGAACAGCAAGAGAAATAACCTGGATGCCTCAGACCAGTGGGCCCAGTAAATATCTTATTACTTAGTTGACTTTAACTGATAACTGAGTCTGGCACTGATGCTATAGGTCTGGGAGCCAACATTTACCTTTGTCAGCTGGGCCAGATTTGTCCGTCCTTTTCACCTTCTGCTGTACAGAACCCCTAGCCCCTGCCCTTGACGAGCTAGGTCTAGAGCCCTCAGCTAATTGAGGTTGTGCGTGTAAAAGGAAGAAGAAGAACACCATTAACATAAGAATAAACTTCATGAGTTGGCAACCAACAATTTGTGTTGATTATGCACCTGATGCACGCATGCTCAAAATACTGACATGTACAAGACAATAGTATAAAAAGGTGTACAATTGTATCATGCAACATACATGTTCATAATGATACATTACTGGGGGGGGGGGAAGAAAGTTCACATACCGGTACCAGCTGTTTTGCTTGGAGTACTTTGTTGTCGAAACTCCTGAAAGGCTGGCCGATTACGTTGTCTTGGGGTGGACCAAGTTTCACTCTCTGAAATATTAAAAAAAAAACATTTCTTGTTACTTATGCATTCAACACACATCATTAACAAATCATTATCTTTGTTGGAGCAAAACTGTATTGAAATAGAAAGATTCAAGGCTTTTCAATCATATCCAAGTGACATGAACCTAGCCAGCATGACAATCATCCAATTTAATGTAAATATATAAAGCAAAGTGCTGTAATCATATCTGGGTTCTCTTAGTAAACTTAAGTCCGATTTTTTATCAATTTCTATGCTATTATATTGAAAGCGACTTCTACTGAATGTCTTCCAAAAATTTGACATGGCGTGCTTGATGCACTTTTTTGTTTGTTAAAGAAGACATCTAAAAATCTAGAAATATCACATCATAAGTCAGAAGACAGGAATACAAGCCTTTTTTATTATGTTCTTACTTGAGATGATGGTCTTCTCAATCATACAGATTACATGCAGTAGAATGCAATTTCATCTCACAATGATGCAATGGAGGCCATAAAATGTCATAAAACCCACAAAAAATGTCAATGTTAATTCATACAAGACACCTCAACTGCTTTCAATGTGTTTTTTCATAAAGGAATGATTGCTTAATATGTGAAATTTTCATATGCATTATGTACCTGAATGCTGCAGTCATCTTGTATTTACATCTGGCAAACCCAAGTATTAAAACCTAACTCGTCTACGTCTAGCTATCTGAGTGTATGCAAGTATTATTTAACAATTTACCTTCTTCATCATTGTCCTCCACATCTTCTCCTACAAAATAACAGAGAAATACACCAATAATGTGACAATGTGATGATGTCATGTTCTCCAGGAAAAAAAACTCTGTACAACAATGTTAACAGGCATTCCCAGACTTTGACAAATAGCAATTCCTATAGAAATAATATATATGTAGCACTATGTGGAGTAAAAAAACCCTATTGACAACTGAAGGCAGGCAACTGGGAAAAGGGATGTTTTACCAGCCCAGCCCACCTGACGTATGGCTTTTAATCACACTACACCCCCAACCCAGTAGAAAACCTTATCAAACAAACAACAAGTCATCTAGACTCGGCTAAAGTGGTATCATAGACAAGAATAATGATATCTAGGAATTAATAGAGGGTATTGTGGTTGCTTATTAAGTTTTACGTCAAGCCGACACATGCTGGCCTTTTGTGGCATTTACGAGTTGGCACTGTACTGAGTGTCTGAGTCAGTCCCCTTTAAGCCCTGGGGAGGTTTTTTTTTAGACTGGGCAAAAATCACTGCACAATTCCATAAAATTGAATCAGTGTGGCATTAGTCAGATAATTAGAAAGATATTGGTTAATTTGCAAACAACTACCATACAATAAATGTACAATATACCTTCTTTGTCCAAGTCAATGAGTGAAGATTCGGAGTCGGAGCCTGGAGGATGGAAGGTGAGGTCAGGCAGGTTCTCTGCTGTCACTTCCGGCTCTTCCGGGTCTTCGATTAGGGCTGTGTATTATGGGACAAACAGAACAAGGTGTTGTGTGCAAAGGTTCACAATGCAGTTTGAAGGCTTGGAAACCAGATTTTCAAAGTCACTATGCTAGTCACTTATTCACTTACATGCAGTAAGTTGAAACAACACTATCCCAATGTATTCATGGAGCACAAACTTGTTGGAAATCTGTGCACTGCTGGCGCAGCGGGGAGGGAAACCCTTCCTGGCTTACTAGGGTCTGTATCGTTTGTTTTGAACATGCTACGGTTATGATTTTGGGATAGAATGCAGCTTATGGGCATAAGAAGAAGTACTAATTGTGATAACCTTGATGCAAGGAAGTGGGAGGAGGTTACAAATTATGGTTGAACTGGTAATAGCTGGTTAAAAAGAGGCATACCAAGGCAGTAGACGTCCTTCTTGTCCTTGTAGAACCTCTTGAAGTTTGCAAAGGCAGCAAGCTTTGGTGCTTCAAGGGTGTCCATTCCTGCCTTTGCGCCCTTCCCATATCGCTTCCCAAAGCTCCACTCCTTGGGGTCAACCAACTGACCTGCATCACTGAACAAATTTGAAATTCAAACATGACTAGATTAGTCTTTGAGTTATATTTTTTTTAACTTTTTGTATTTCTAATGTCTACCTGCACCTTATCTCCATCTATGAGTTACAACATGTGTAAGTGGACTTCTGTTGACTGAATGGAGCCTGAATACATGTATGTGACATGTTAAATTAATAAAAAATGGTGTCTTAACAGTTCTACGTATGCTTTATGAAGTATAATTGAATAGCAACAAAGGTAAAAAATCACTGTTATCAGTGTACTGTTTGCATGAAACTGGTATTTTAGCCATGCATGTACATGTAGAACCAGGTTTAAACAGTTAACATGGATCATACTTATGCAACCAAAGTAATTCCTTTAAAGCAAACCATATCTTATACTAGGTAAAAAAATCCTGACATAGCTCAGAGGATCATAAGGAAAAAAAAGATGGATGAATTCCCTATACAGTATCATTTCACCTCTATTTGGAGAAAAAAAAGCCGGAAACACGAACACGTGATCAAGCCCATTTTTAAATTAGCAAATTACCTCATGTTCCTAAACTTGGGCTCCTTCTTGATGCTCAGCACTGGACTGACGCCTGGGTAAAAATTCACATATTCATGTGGCCAATCTGTTATGTCACCGGGCAGCTCTTCCCTTGGGTGTGACACAGGTAGCATTACAACCTTCATCAAGACGGCTATGTCAGCTACCTGTTGTGTTGCAGCTGTTGATAAGAAAGAGAGGGATATTACTGGTATGACTACTAGTATATACCTGATTTACACTTACATGCTCCCGTTTATTATGTAAATCCATTTTTGGATGACTGGGGTAACAAACAGTCTATCAACTTCATCTGCTGCCCCGATATTGGTTACACATGCAGGGATGGACTTCCAATGTAAAAGTGTTTCCTGGAGAATGGGAGTCAATGTGCGCCCATGTTACATTATAACAAGGAGATTTCTAACCTCCTTGATTGTACCATTTTTTGAAGGAAAATTAATAAGAAGGAAGAAAGGACCTCGATGAGGGTTCTTCAGGTTAACATATTTTACATACAGTATACAACTTACTTTTGTGCTTCACGTGACTGGGACCTGGTTTTGCACCTGGTTTCTTGTACGTGTGCTTTGCCTGGTAGTTGAACAGGCTGCCGAGGGCCTGTGTGTGGTGCCTTGCCAGGCCACTAATGGGCTTAATTTTACCTCCTGTATAAAACAAATGATCAATTGCTTAAGATACATTCATTAACACCCACCAAAAGACATACTATTTCCACTTATTGCTGCACAATCTACATGTATTTACTACCTTCCCATCTTTCTTTCCATACAGTTTTATCAGGTATTATATGTTATGAATAACTTATGATTGTAATGTTATTAAGCATGGTAATGGTAAGAAGTAAGTGGCAATATAATGTGAAAACAGAAAAACATGTTAGCTCTAATGCCCTATGAATTCCCCAAAGTTTACCCAAAAAGAGGACAGAGAACTTTTACTGCCTTTTCTAGTACTCTTTTGTAGCTAAAATTGTAGCTGGAATTAATTTCTTGAAAGATTCCCAACTATATGAAGTGAAATGTTGTTGCCTTGCCTACCTGAAGCTGCAGCAGCTGGAAGCCCATATCCTGTAGCCCCTAAAACAGAATGAATGTGGTTTTAATACCTCATCAATCAATCAATGAATCCTTGCCTGGAAAAAAGTCATCTATCTAGTAAGTAGTCTGATTTTGTTGGCTGTGACATGCTGTGTCAGGCTGGGCTGAATTGCGGTCAGTAAATGATTTGTTGTATTACACAAAGCTGTAACAGTCATTCTTACTTTAAAGCAATTTATAACTTAAAACTTATATATATGCCATCAATTTATTGTACAACATGTGCTAGTGAACAAGCACATTTCTGTCCAGTGTGATTGTTGGGTTTCTATTACATAACGGTAGTAGTACAAGTTTACTTAAAGTAGTAAAAAGTGATTACAGAAGCTTAGAACATGGTAACTTATCTTACCTGACGAGAACATGTCTTGCTCAGGCTGCTCAGGCTCAGGCTCCTCATCTGGGAAGAAAATGTTTCAAGGTTTTAAGTGAGTTACATGAATTTGCTCTCTGCACAAAACATCCTGCAGAGGAGTAACGTTTCAGAAAAAAATGTTAATATGCTTTATAGCATAAGTCTCCCCTGGAAAACCAAAATTTAATTTGACAAAATATAACTTATATGATACCAGTGCAGCCAAAATTATTTATCCTTACATTCCATTGTAGGCTCCAGTTAACAGGAGTCAATAAGAGTCTCAGGGATGTATTTTTCATAATATATTGATTGAAAACAAATGATTAAAATACATATACAGGAGTAGATGTCCTATGTTATTTAAATACTAGAATATAACAATTAAATAATGTTATTGGTGTTAACTGTTACCTTTCCTGCCTCTCACAGCAGTGCCACACTTTGAGCAGAACTTGGCCTGGGCACCAGCGTTGGCGCCACAGTTTGAGCAGAAAACCATGATGGCAACTGAAACAGAGAAAATAAACTGTCATTGTCAAACTTTTGGGCACTTTGCTTTGGTGGAAACATCTTGATCAGCAACATGTCATTCGTCATGCCCTTTGCAAATGCAATTGTAACTGAATTTGTGTTGTAACAGTCGAATGTAGGACACTGACAGTGACATAAAATGTCTCTAGTCAGACAGACTATGTAAAACCTAATCTCCAAGCATAATCCTATGGTGACAACGCAGTGTATCCATTGACCAGAGGAGTGTCCACTTGCCACTAATGGATGTTATGGATGTCTCTCTCTGGCAAATGAATACTGCCTTGCCACCGTAGGATCTGCTTGGAGATTATGAAAAACCAAACGTCAATGTGAAGAGATTTACAACGACTCGAAGTCTGTATCTATGTATTAGCCAAGGACGTTCAACACAGTGTATTAGCATAATTCCTTGGTATTAGCACAGTATATTCACTATCACCTCGTTTACGCCTATGTGTAGTGTCCAAATCATGCACATCACCTTCGATGTTTCTGCAAGGACGTCATGGCACAACTTGAGCGGTCGGTCCATCAGAAACATGCACCGTTATACACGTACGTTACAGAAAGGTAAAACAATCCCAAACACTTCGCCTACAATTTACGTCAGCCAATGTCTTAGCCTAGCCTGGATACCATCCTTCTTGTATGCAGGGGCTCCCACACTCGCTGTGGGAGCCCCGGCATACAAGTAGGATGGCACCCAGGCTAGTCGTAGCCCTTCCGTTTCCTAAAAAAATTCGGTCCGAAAGACCCAGGGGGGTACCCATTCCCAGGATTCTTTGCGGCGAGTAGAGGTTGTTTGATAGTTTCGATTAGGCCAGATAAGGCCACTGCAAACAAGGAGGGCCAAAAATTCATTTTCAAATTTTGACGTCATAACCCTTGTAAAGCAAGAATTGAGGTGACAAAACATGGCATCACGACCAAACAGAATCTTGCATTCAACAGCATTACCTGTCCTTTAATTTTAGATGTGTAAAAACCTCAGAAGTTCTTAACGGCTAGGGGCCCCCGCAAGCCCTTTTCCGTAGAGCGTAATCGGCCGTTTTAATTCTCTACGTAGAGCGTAGACGGACCGCTCTAATTCCATTCAACGTAGAGCGTAATAAAATGTTGGCTCATTTTGCGTAGAGCGTATTCGCCGTTTTAATTCTACGTAATGCGTTGTGGCCACTTGGAATTTATCGTAAAGCGTAATCGAGAAGTTTCCGAAATCAGCGTAGAGCGTTGTCGGGACCCCCCGTAGGAAGCCGCAAACTACAAAACAAAGAAAACTTGGTTTTGGTAGCGCACTCGAAGTTTATAAAGTGCTATTTTAAAATCCAAACGTCACAGGTCAAATCGGAGGAAGACCTCAAACCATTCACTTGAATATAAAGCGTTTAAAGTTACAGGTGTACTTCTCTATAACAAAGTGTGATTGGAAGTGAGACAACGGGGATCCGGATAACTTTATCCTTGTATGTACTAGTAGTTCTGTACCGGTGGCAAGGAAAAGCTGGCACCTGCGCTCCCCTGAAACGGAGTGGGCTTGGGTAGTCCTAGTCTCCACCAGACTTCTTTTGCGGGCTGAATTGGCCAAGGAAGGTAGCCGGCCAATTAATACCCTTTTTATGCCGATTTCTACGATTTATTCAGCCTGCAAAAGAAGTCTGGTGGAGACTAGGCTAGTTCAGAAAGTTTGGCCCTAGTTTTCCAAAAGTTCGCGACCCGTCGTCTTGACCTCAGGGTCACACAGGAAATGGGAAAATAAGGAATTTGATGAGAACTGTAGTAAAAAAGTATCCGATGTTGGCACGTTTTGCATACTAGTGTTCATCCAATTTGGCAGAGATTACCGAATTAACACAAAAATTCAAAGAAATAAGCACAATGGGAAAAGCTGTCACACAAAAGTCCATGGGTGCAATTTGTACCATCACATGAAGGTGCTAAGACTCGTTTCGGCGGCGCTCTTTTCAAGTTGGGACAAGAACAATACATCTTGTTCCAAGAATTAGATGCATGGCGACTAGTTTGTTGGAAAGATCAAGCCTACATCAAGCCTCGTTGTAAAGAGAATTATTTCAGGGGGTACAGTATTTGTAGCCCCGACCTAGTCTATCTACTAGTAACCGCGAATCATAATCATGAAGGGGTTTCCTCAATCTCTATCGATCGACACACGAAGAGGAAATGGGTCACCATAACTTGACCACAAGCGCCTGAAAGTTTGAGCACTTACTTGACTTGCTTTTGCGTTTGCTTGTGTTTCAAACACTTTTTGATCTTTGTGTGTAAGAATAGATTCAAGAAAAAATGTGGTTATCATAAATACCTACAACAGAATGGGAACTTTTCCCTCGCGATACAAAACTGTTTAAAAATTTCTCCTAGTCCCTTTTACGCCCCAGCGAATTTCCTTCCTTATTTATGGACAAGTAAGTGCATATATTTATAAATCAAGAACTTACCGATCGGTGTTGTCCTATAGCTCGCAGAGTTGGAAAAAAAAGCAGACTGGAAAACACAGCTGAGCAGCAAATTGATGTCCGTCCGTCCTGTTAGGCGAGCGCGCGTCTCAGGAAAGAAGGCACTGTGCGCTTGCGCATGCCCCCATCTCTCCGCTCGGGGTGGGGTGGCAAAGGAGTTTGTCTTTTCTTATCAAATATTCTTATCAAAGAACCTACATATCAAAGAAGAAGTGGGTAAGTTCAAAGAAATAAGCACAATGGGGAAAGCTGTCACACAAGTGTGAACAAGTCCATGGGTGCAATTTGTACCATCACATGAAGGTGCTAAGACTCGTTTCGGCGGCGCTCTTTTCAAGTTGGGACGAGAACAATGCCAAAGGAGTTTGTTTTTTTATCAAAGATTCTTATCAAAGAACCCACATATCATAGAAGTGTGTAAATTCGTCTTGCATTGCCTCAAAAGAAGACGTCAAACCCAGCAAAATTCGCGCCACATGTTTGCCATGTTGCCACTTTCAATCATTCTATATCCATTGACACTGTTGGGTATTGACACTTCGTTGTACGGGAACAGAAACATTATTGGTAGTAGTGTCGTTCATATGCTGTTTCAAAACACAGCAACTGAGCACAGATTTGGTCGGACCATTGGTCGGACTCGCCAACCGCACGCAGCATAAATAATGGAAGTGTCAGAATTGCCCTGATGAAGATAACAGACGGTCATCGAAACGTCGGCTCGTAAAAAACTAAATGGTTAAAAAAATTAATGGTTTTGATCAAAGAACTTGGCAATTCAGCATAAATAATAATATTAATTAATATACTCCCCAAGCCGAGTTTGGTGGGAAAAAATTCAGTGCCAAAGAGAAACCTCGATAGAAAAGCCTACAAACACGCTAAAATACCCCAAACCCAAACCTCTGCTTGGAGAGTAAAATAATAGTTTTTGAAAAAAATTCAGTGCAAAAGAGAAACCCCGATAAAAAAAGCCTAAAAACACGCTAAAAATACCCCCAAACCCAAACCTCTGCTTGGAGAGTAAAAATAATAGTTCTATTAACTCGCTTATTATGTATGACAAAATAAATTTCTGGTGCAATAATTTCATTTCTCTCGCGTTGCACTTATTTTATTTTTTCTCTCTTATGGTGTGTTTTCTTCCCTCGCGTTGTGGTTTTCTCTCGCGTTCGCATGCGATTTATTTTGTCTCTCGCTGGCTCGCTTGCTGGGCGCGAGAAAAAAACCTGCCTGCGCGCGAGAAAAAATCCTGGCGCGCGAGAAAAAATCCTGGCGCGCGAGAGAAAATAAACCGCATGCAAACGCGAGAGAGAAGCCACATGAGAAAAAGATTGCATTGCATACAAACGCTAGGGGAAAGCCGGAGATTATAATGAATGAAGCGATAACAGTCTGTAATCGGGAGTTGTACGTGAAAATACTACCATTGAACTACAGATATTATGAGAAATGAGTACGTACACCCCCGGATTTAGAATGAAATGCCCAATCTCGGATGATAGAAAGTGTTCAAAAGAGAGCTTGCCGCATAGTGAAGTAGCAAACTTGTGACATAGCTCATATCGGTGACATGAGTTCTGCTGAGTTCTACAACTTTTTCGACTTGTATATATATATATATATACACACAACTTGCATAAACACAACGTATAAACACAACCAGCTTCAAAAATCAAATGCTTAGCAACAAATTGTTAGAGTAGTTTGTTGTTGAATTAATTATTCAGTATTCAGTCAGTGTGGTCCTTGTGTCTACTAGCTAGCAGACATACTAGTAATTAATACGATGGAGTTACAACGTCGTAACTACATGTTAATTAATACCAAGATGATGACATCAAGGGTTGAACTTCACTGCGCCAGTATGGTTGGTGCACGGTGAAAGGCAGGCCAGGTAAAAGGGGTGGGTCACCATGATTTGCTACAATCGCATATTCAAGAATTCGGCTTTTTTCCGTTGATGTTCTCACGAAAGAAGAAGAGCTTTGTGCCACTCTACTGTCACTACTTCTTTTAGCTTAAAGCATGAAGGAGGAAGAACCATGCAAGTCTAAGTTTGCTGTTAGCGTAAGTACACTGTAACAAAAAACCTAGGTAGGGATGTGCTTTGGTCCGACTTCCAGTGTTTGACCAAAGAATATTGGTAGCTGTTCACAAAGTATGTTATTTCAACTTGATCGCGATATCATCATCATATTGGATTTATTTATATATATATATATATTAAGATATTTCCGGTTTTCTCGCGCGTAGGATATTTCTCCCACTCTGGTTTTATTTCTCCCGCCCTGGTTTTATTTCTCCCGCCCGGCTTTTATTTCTCCCGCCCGGCTTTTCTTTCCTCGCGCGTAGGATATTTCTCTCGCCACGACTTCTCTCGATACATTTTCCTCTCGCGCGTAGGATATTTCCCCTCGCCCGGTTTTTTCTTTCTCCCCGCCCTATTTTTCTCTCCCCCCGCCCGATTTTTCTTTCCTCACGCGTAAAATATTTTCCCTCGCCACGACTTTATTTACATCTCCCGATACATTTTTCCTCCCTCGCTTTTTGACCCCATTTGGCGTGCCATACTGGAAATGGCAGAAAGCCTGGAAGACCACGAAGAGGGATCCAAAAACCTGAAATACAGCGCTTGCCGAGCCCTCAGAGAGGGGAGGGTACCCTGCCCCCACGATGATTGCCACGACAATGCAGTGTTCTTCCAGAGTGGTACAGGTCTTGACGTACACTACCGCGCAAAGCATGGCAACAAATCGAACTCCACAGCAGAGAAAAGAGCCAAGCAGAAGCTACACCAGCTGTGTTTCGAGGAGATGAAACAGAAACTGCAAGACATTGAGGTGGGTCTGGCGTTTTAAAAAGATTTGTATCTTGCAGTGGAAAATATTATGGTATCAAGTTGCCATTAAAAATTTCCCAGGTTTTTACGTAAATATTCACTAAATATGGTCTTGGAGAGATTTTTTTAGCTGCATTTCTATACAATTAGCCAGTACAACCACTAATAATTTACGACTGGTGTGTTCTACAGGCACTGGACCAAGAAGGTCACAAGTATGAGGTGTCATCGTCTGCATTGAACACCACAGTCACTGCTACTAGGCCTGAAGTGGCAGCCAAAAAGGCAGGCATCATCCTGAAAGCAGGTGGCTTATTGCATTCGTATGAAAGTGGAAACCCACCATTCCCCTTGACTGTAGAAGACGGTGAGAAGACAGTGGAGTACCATCTCTGGTACATTCTTAAGTCAGAAGAGGGGAAGAAAGTTCCATGCATTGTCTGTAAACCGGTCTTTGTGAAAATGTCTTCAGGACATCATACTCAGCAGACTACCAACACTGATGACTTTGATCAAGCACCCACATCAACAGATGACAACAACATCTCTGATCCTCTGGAGGCGTGCCTTAAAGCCGTGTTTGGCCTGAACTCCTTCAGACAAGGGCAAAGGGAGATCGTCTCGGCAGTCCACAATGGAGGGAATGTCTTGATTATCATGCCCACTGGAGGTGGGAAGACTCTGTGTTTTTCTCTTCCTGCTGTCCTGAGGAAAGGCGTTACAATAGTCATTGTCCCCCTGGTGGCACTTGGCGTTGATCTGTTGAGAAGATATGAAGGCCGTTCGATTCCATCTGTATTTATTTCACACCTCAGTTCCGACGAAAGCATACAACAAGTCCTTCATGATGTCAACAGCAACTCCCCACAAACAAAAATCATCATTACCACACCAGAGAGCCTTGTCGGAAGAGAGAGACTCTGGAGAGCAGTCGTTGGCCTTAGGGAGAGGAGTCTTCTCGAGATGGTCGTTATAGACGAGGCCCACTGCCTACATGAAATGGGACACGAGTTTCGGCCAACCTATCTCGAACTGTCAAAAGTTGCCGAATTAAACACCCAAATTGTCGCCGTCACTGCTACAGCTACACCAACAACCAAGGAATTCATCAGACAACACTTGGGCATGGGGAACTGTTCAGTTTTTTCTACATCAGTGGAAAGGAAAAACATTGAGTATTCAGTGCGAGCTAAGGGGAAAACACAAGAAGCAACAGAAGAAATGGTGTGTGAGGTTGTGTCATCTGACTTCCAAGGTCAAGCCGGTATCGTGTACTGTCAAACAGTTAATGAAGTTAAGGACATACACTACCGGCTGCAGGAAAGTGGTGTGAAAGTCGTAAAGTATCATGGAACTGGAACTGGACAAAATCAGGTAGAGGGCAGACAGAGCCTATTTGATTGGAGTAGGGGAGAAAAGGATGTTCTAGTAGCTAGTAAAGCTGCTGGAGTAGGAATCGACAAACAAGACATTAGGTTTGTAATCCACACGGGCTGCCCATCATCCATTCCTGACTACATGCAGGAGTCAGGACGGGCAGGCCGAGATGGGCGACTGGCAACAGCCATCCTGTTTTACAAACCAACGGACAAATCGCTCCATGCCAAAAGGATCGGTGATATCCTAGACGAAGCTTACAGAGAACAAGCCCTGAAGAGGCTAGGAGACATGATTAACTTTTGCGAAACAGAGAAATGCAGAAAGAAACTGCTTCTTGATGCCTTTTCTGAGGACACAAGTTCATATGACTGTTCACAAAAATGTGATAACTGCCAATCACCTACTGTGGCCAGGGAAATAATTCTCAGCCAAGAGGCAGCTAACATGGCCAGGTGTGTGTCTGCCATCAGACACACAGACTGACAGTACAACATCCATCAGCCCACCTCGTGTCAAGAGTGTACCTTGGACTTAAGACAGGGAAGGAAGTCAGGCAACATAAGTTAGATCAGATTCCAGAGTGTGGAATTGGAAAGAACAGTGGGATGGCTGTCAAAATCTGTGAAAAGTTCATGAGGTTGCTGGTGAGAATGGACATATTGAATGAGAAAATTGTTCCTAAGAGTCCCACACAAAAGTATTCCTATGTGTATGTTTGTCCAGGGGCATTGGCAGAGTCTGTTATAAGGGGGGATGTTCATGTCACGTGGTATGTACGATAATATCCCTACTGTTATCAGTGACTGATTCAGTTGTATGTCAACCACTCTCCTTCATTATGGCCTGTACTCCTTTAAAGTGTCAAGTATCCATTGACAAACACTTGTTTTTACTAAAACATGTTCTGATCCCTTAAAAAAATTTAAGGACAGCTTCTAGACTAAGTAATAGATTGGTGGAATGTTCAGATCTGCATGTAAATCAAGTTATGTGACAGAGGGCTATGTAATATGTGAAATTGTTCTTGTGACATGTGGAATTGTAATAATTGTGCCACACCATTTTGAGTTTTGTATTGTAAATCTTTAGAGATTAGATTGCCTAACAATGACTTTTGTGGAGTGGATTTATAGGTGGGGTTCAACCTCGTCTGTTGGCTGTGAATAAAAGTCCTGGTTGTGTACAATGATTCTCCATTTAATTCTCCATTTACCGTGAACCTGATGATAAAAATATTATCCATGATAGTAACTTTGCACTAATTTTCATGCCCAATTGAACACCTCCCTAAGAATAAAGGACCACACACAGGAATATTCTGTTACATCACATTTATTCTTGAATATATTCAACATGATTCTCCCCCCCCCCCCACCCTTTTTGGGCCATTCTTCTATATGTGTGCCACTTTCTTAGTCAACTGATGTTTCTTTACAAATTTTCAGGTCAAACAATACCATAACAGAGAGAGTGGCATCTTCTGGCCAACCTTATCAAGTGACCCAGCAGTTGAAATATATACATGCAAATATTTACAAAGTTACCTTTGCTACGAAATAGCAAGAGTTGCCACATTGTGTCAGAGTCAAGTTAACGTTACTCAAACAATAGTATAGTGTTGTTTTAAAACCGGTATTTAGACTTTTAGAATGGTGTCAAAATGTAGCAATTAATTGCTCTATACTCCATCCTTCTTGACCACATATGGTCACATGTACATTTAGCCTATCGTATAAAATCTACAATATCAAGTACATCGTTTTGGGAATTTAAGGACACAATTTAAACCAAGACTTCACAATACTACCACATGCCTATTTAAAAATGTGACAGTTCTCTTTAAAAAGCACTAAATACATCATGTAACAGCTGGGTAACAGACATCATCTGTTCTTAAGGCCAAGCTATATCCACACAGTTACAGCCTATTTCAAAATGCAACAGTTCTCATGAAAAACAATAAAATAAGCACCACTCATTACCAAATACTAGTACATCCTTTAACAGCTGAATAACAGACATCAGCTTTCTTAAGGCCAGGGTATACCCACTGTGTCAGCTTATTTCAAAATGCAACAGTTCTCATAAAAAAATACAATAAGCACCACTCATTACCAAATACTAGTACATCCTTTAACAGCTGAATAACAGACATCAGCTTTCTTAAGGCCAGGGTATACCCACTGTGTCAGCTTATTTCAAAATGTATGGAAAGGTAATTTCCAAGCAAATACAGGGTGGTATTGATTGCATGGTGAATGGGGAAATTTGGAAGAATGGGTGAAATGTGCTGTATTTGCTCAAGAGCAACAGGAGCCTTTCTAGTTAGATGTTTTCTAAATTTCCAAGGGCTCAAGTAAAGCTATGATGTACTGCTGTCAGACATATTATATTTAACCTTTACAATTATACAAGATAGGTAAGAAAATGTCAAAGCAGGACACGTTTAAACACTTGTCATGCACGAACGAATGTATAGTAGACAAACTATGTAATTATGTTTCCAGATGTTTCAAAAAGAGAGAAGAAAGGGCAACTAAACAGTAGATGATAGGTAGTATATAGTATTGTTGTAGTATATGGACTCCTAGCACTTAGCATTAGAATATAGCGTTCCAGTATGCAAAACATATTTTTTATCCTCTCGACCACATTTGGTCACATCTGTGCATTTAGCCCACCTGGGCAAGAACATGCAATGTATATTCATATCATATCATATCATTTAAAATCTTGCAGGATAGGTATGCAGACGCGAATGCACAGCCCATCGTGGACGAGAGTCAGGACTGGGAGCTGGTGTCTGGGTACGAGAACGGAACCCACACAGTCCTGCGGTTCAACCGGAAACTGACGACATGCGACACCAAGGATCGCGTCATCAACGTACGTTTGCATTCACCAATTTCACACTTCCCATAATGCCTAGTAAAAGTCACGGATATGACGTAAGACCACCCCCTCCCCCTTCCTCGATGTAATATTTCCAACAAGTTCTATCGACAAACTGTTCAACTATTGTTCTGAATTATTTCTCTAGTATAAAGCGCATGCCATAATTGCATTTTTGTTGGAATTAGAGAAAATGACGTACCTTCTATCGTTCTAATATACGTAATGCGACCGTGCGAGTAGGAGAGTCTTCGGTAGAAGGTAGAACGATAGAAGTTCATTTTCTCTAATTCCAACAAAAATGCAATTATGGCATGCGCTTTATACTAGATAAATAATTCAAAACAATATAGTTGACCAGTTTGTCGATAGACCTTGTTGGAAATATTACATCGAGGAAGGGCGAGGGGGTTGGTCTTACGTCATATCCGTGACCATTACTAGGCATTATGGGAAGTGTGAAATTGGTGAATATGTATAACACTTAGTTATTTCAAGAACACCATAGAATGTCCTTATAGTAAAAAGGTGGAATTTATTCCAACACAATACAGAGATCAAATTTTCAGCGACCACTGTCGCCTTCATCAGGATAATTAATGAGCAATCACTTCACAACGTGATCTCGCGAGAGTTACGGTTACAAACACGTGACCTTATTTACACGAGACTTTACTGATATGTGACATAAGGTCTCGGACCGGAGTTTTTTTCACGATTTTGGATCCGGCGGACACCCTCAGACCGAAGGGCTATAACTCCGCCAAAAGAAGTACGCCGGGAAATCTCATTACATCAGTCAACGGAGGTTTCCAGCCGGCTTCCGATACAATTTTGGTTATTGTCCGTCGACTCTAAAATTTGGGTAGAAACTGTAGTTAAACGTAAATTTTGGATACGAAAAATGTAGTTTTTTTGCAGTTTTTTCAACGGACCTGCTTGGAAAAAACGAATTTTCCCAGGCTAACGGCTTATATGCTGAAATAGCTTACTACTTCCTGTTTCTGAAAAACAGAAAAAAAATATAGGTTGTTGCGATAAGTTTTTCGCAAAATCCGGTGACGCGAACCCCTAGAAATTCCACATAGAACGCAGCTATTTGGGTCATCAGGCGACAAACCGCATCACCCTTGCTCGCGGACTGATACCAAAAACGCTTCGCTGGCCGTCCAACTTCACCGCGCCGAAAAACACTACAATCCCAAGGCTTTTTGATCAATTCAAAACCTAGTTGAAAATCTACAGCGATCGCCGAGCTATGGGGAGCCAAACCTAGCGTGACAACCTCGCAGATCCGGCGATTTACTGCGCACTATTTGGAACCCTGGTCAGAATTAAACTCCGACCCGGAACCATAAGCAATTGATCAAAAGTGCCAGGGAGTTTATATCGACAGTGGTCGCTAAAAATTTGATCTCTGTAATATATATATAATGTGTGTTGGAATAAAGTTCAACGTTTTACTATGATAACTGCCAACACAGTTGAACTTTCGAATTCATGATAGTAGAATGTCCTTGTCCCGTCGTTACCGTCATTGCTGTACGATGCAAATCCGCTACCACAGTGAAATATGATTTGAAAAAAAAAAGTAAAATCGATCCAAACACTTCTTGAAAATATCATGAAAGTTCATCTGTGTTGTTAGTTACATAGCTTGATTAAATCGCTTTTTAATACGGTTGCCGGCTGCGCCCATGCCCAACATATGCATACAGCCGCCCGGAGGGGCCAGTAAAGCCGCGGACGACAGATTTTGCGTTACACATACTAGTAGTTACATGTTTAGAGTTAAAACTTTTGATCCAACACAAAAAAAATCTCCCACATGGAGCTTTCGACCAGTCACTCTGGTCTTCCTCAGTAGACTGACCCAGTGAGGCTTGTCACGTTGCTTCTTTGAAGTGTGACGTCAACACTGGTCAAAGGTATCTGGTAGACGATGTCGGCCCCCGTCGCGGTTAACTTCTTGAAAATGTTTGACCAACTGTGAGTACTGAAAGTCCTGAAACTTCTTCCCACAGAAAGACACCATGCGTGTGATATGGGCCTGGCATGACGAGGATCCAGAGGAATCATCTGGTACGAACGGTCCGAAGTACCACTCCTCCAACAGGGGCGTCCGGAGCACCATCCTCATCACCCAGCCAGTCTCACAGGCCAGCCTGCCGGACACAACTTACACCTTCGATCTCACCATGAGAAACGTAATCTACGTAACATTATGTATCCATGTATATTTCTGAACTATTATCGAATCTCTACTTAGTAGCAACGGCGTGTGGCGTAGCGGCAGAGTGCTTGACTCGGAGCCAAGAGGTCCCGGGTTCGAGTTCTTACATGCCCTTGATCTTGTGCCCTTGGGAAAGGCACTTTACACGACTTTCTTCACCTAATTCAAGTGAACACTTCTTGAAAATGTCTTTATTGTCTTGTCTGTAGAGTCGTTCTCTGCGTTGGTGACGGTATAAAATAAGTCAATATAACTTGAGTGTGCCGTCATCATGTGTAGTTAACAAAGTCATGAAATGTTGGAACATAAACAAAAAAATCTTACATGTACCTGCCCAGGTATCCGTCCCCGGTAACTGGCACACGACCTACTGGTGCAAGCTTTTCAAACTGCCGACGTTGAGCGGAAAGCACCATATTGTAAAGGCAAGTTTGGCAGACAATTTGTTTTTTTTTTAATTATTATTATTATTATTATTGTTGTTGTTGTTTTCCACTCATCTTAACCTCGTCAATCAAATGGCATCAGTTTACCAGAACTAATAGTAATGTTTTTTTTCACTGTCAACGTTATAGATATTGCTCCTCAAACTGAAAGACGAAATTCATTTCATCTCTAAAATATAATTGTCCATTTTATGACGCCATCAGGAAACAAAACACAGTGTCTAAAATGCTCCCTTACTTCCCCACTATTCCCTAGATTGTTGTTACCTAAATGACTGATCGTTGTTACCTAAATGACTGATTGTTGTTACCTAATGACTGACTGTTGTTACCTAAATGACTGATCGTTGTTAACTAAATGACTGATCGTTGTTACCTAAATGACTGATCGTTGTTAACTAAATGACTGATCGTTGTTACCTAAATGACTGATTGTTGTTACCTAAATGACTGATCGTTGTTACCTAATGACTGATCGTTGTTACCTAAATGACTGATCGTTGTTACCTTAATGACTGATTGTTGTTACCTAAATGACTGATTGTTGTTACCTAATGACTGATTGTTGTTACATAAATGACTGATTGTCGTTACTTAAATGACTGATTGTTACCTAAATGACTGATCATTGTTACCTAAATGACTTATCGTTGTTACCTAAATGACTGATTGTTGTTACCTAAATGACTGATTGTCGTTAGTTAAATGACGGATTGTTACCTAAATGACTGATCATTGTTACCTAATGGCTTATCGTTGTTACCTAAATGACTGATTGTCGTTACTTAAATGACTGATTGTTACCTAAATGACTGATCGTTGTTATCTAAATGCCTGATTGTTGTTATTTAAATGACTGGTTGTTGTTACCTAAATGACTGATTGTTGTCACCGCCTGTTGGCGTAGATGGAGCCGGTTATCACGCCAGGGAATGAAGGACTAGTTCATCACCTTCTGGCTTACAAGTGCCGGAGGAACCCTGACACCATCGTGCCAGACGATCACCAGGGACATAACTGTTACACCCAGAACATGCCGTACGACTGGCGAGAATGTTACCAAGGGTCTCTCATTGCAGCATGGGCCATTGGGTCAGGGGTAGGCTATATATTCTTGTCGTTAGCCTGGTAGCCAGTCTTACGTGGTAGGGGCTGGTTCTCCTCGGGGCTGCAGGAGCTCTTCCCCGCCCGTCTGAAATAGGTTTCACGGTTCGTATTTCACGAGAAATTGATCAAATCCCCAAGCAAGTGGGGTCGTGTGGCGTAGCGGCAGAGTGCGCGACTCGGACCCTAGAGGTCCCGGGTTCGAGTCCTGACATGTCACTGATCTTGTGCCCTTGGGAAAGGCACTTTACACGACTTTCCTCACTTCGCTCAGGTGAAAATGAGTATTGTCCTGTCATGTATTTGTCCTCTGCGTTGGTCGCGGCATTGATATAAGTTGATAAAACTTGAGTGTGCTGTCACCACGTCTGGTGATTACATGTTGGAATAAAAAAAAATCCCCAAGCATGCTATCTCTACTAGCGTAACGGGTCGGCATGTTGTACAGGGCGGGGGAAGCTATTAGGGCCCCCGAAGACACAGCCTGCCTGAACACCCCCACAGCCCCAATCACGTAAGAGTGGATACCAGGCTATGCAGTCGTGGACTTCAAGATGTGAAATGGATATTCTTGGCTTTTTTTAAATTTCGCCTTAGAAGTTGTTCATCAATGCTAACTCAAAGATATACATAATGTAATCTTGTGACAAGTACCTTTTTTTCTGCAATGTTCTCTAGCTTCGACAGGTAATTTGATTTATGTTCAAGGATATGATTAATATATTCACCACCAACTTCATAAAAGCGTTTGATTACAGGCAAATCACTTTTCAAATTGACATATAACACAACCGTTAAAGTATTATCCTGGTAATGTTGACAACATTTACATCTGTTTTTAAGGACATAGCGTACCCAGAACATGTCGGGTACCCTATCGGGGACGAAGAGGACAGCGGTTATGTGCTGATGGAAATGCACTACGATAACCCGCAGGTGCTTTCAGGTCAGTCTGGTTGATAGAAGAACTTTATTGCACGACAATTGCACATGTTACAATGTAGGGCAAACTACATAAAGAGAGTAGCAAACAATAAAATAAGTGTGTTGAATAAGACATAATGTCGAATAAAACCTAACATATCTATATCATAATAATTCAAATAAAAAGGGATATCACAAGTCTTTGATAAAGTGTTACAATCGAGTGGGCTAATCACAAGTTTCGGTATTTTTTCTAATAGCAAAGCATTCCTTTATATATCTAGCTATTTTTTCGTTGTGGGGACCATTACATGTAAAGATATATTCAAATCTGTCTCCAACATCGAGACTCTTGAAATCTATGGTACTTGATTCGAGAAATGTAAATAGCTTGTTACGTATAACATCATATTTGGTACATTCCATAACAAAATGAAATTCATTTTCTATATGCTTTGGACAAAATGGACAGAACCTTTCGTCAGGGGCTATATTGTAATATCTACCTGTTTCAATATTCAATTTATGGCTACTGATTCTTAATTGAGTTATTGCTTTACGAATTTCAAAGTTATCTATCTCACAAAGGTCTTTATTTGCCAACCAATTGTAAGTCATTTTACGGTGGTATTCAGTTACGATCTACCTTTAGTCACTTGACCTGTCCTTGGTATGTGATCTACATTTACTCTTCATTATGTTTACCGAAGGAAAACATATTGTTTTTGCTACGTTTCTTCTTCTTCTTCCGTTCCAAACACTGACCTCTGACTTGGACAATGACCCGATTTGTTGACGTCTCACCATGGTAACTGGTGTTGTGTTACATAATGTTGCAATTTGATAGTAGAGTTGATTTATACTCCTGTCTGACCATATAAATATATTTGAATGTATTTGAGTAAGAATTAACAGAGCAGACCATATGCGAAGGTAAACATTGTGCATTTGCTTCGCAAATGTTACCTTTCTAGTTTCAGAAGCCTCTTCGGGACATTTGCAGGTAAGACTTATTAGACGTTTTAGACGCTTTAAAGCTGCAGACCATCGCGAGTAAGAACAACTATTACCGGCTCTCGTTCTTCCCTCGCACCATCAAGGAGTGGAATGAACTTAACCCAGTGTGGCGGAGGCGAAGTCCATCTCCCAGTTCAAAGCAGAGCTGGGACGGGCTTCGCTGCATTGAGCTGCCTCCCTGTCCTTGTACATATGTAAATATGTGTAATACTAGCACCATTGATTTCACTTGTCCTGTCCTTGCACTTGTCTACGTCCACCCCCACTCTGCTCTTTGTTTGCACTTTGCACACAGTCACTAATCTGCGCAGATGCTAATAATCCTCTTCTTAGAGGGATGAGCAGTAACAAAGATGATGATGATGATGACTTGTACTTTTTTGTCATCACAGGCTTGTACGACAGTTCGGGGCTAAGATTTATCTACACGCCAGAACTGAGGGACAATGACATCGGGATCTTTGAGGTGGGCATGAGGGTGGGGAAACACCACGTCATCCCACCTGGTGCAGACAGCTTCACATCAGCCGCATTCTGCGATCCGCAGTGTCTCGGCCCGGTTAGTAAAATTTCTAAACAAGACTGGCAATGAAAACATACATTGCCATGGCGACTGTGGTTGCTATTAGGGTTATTGTTTGCATGGCACTGTCATGATTTCATGATTTTGAGGAAGACTTGTTACCTGTTAAGTCTAGACAGATACAGTGCACTCCCCCCCTGAGTGTATAGTGAACGAGCCCCGGGGTCACAGAAAGTAGGGCCATCCGGGGCTTTGAGGTCTTCCTAGGGGTTTCCAAGAATGCAGGCATAGATGTGGGTCAGAGACATGCCTGTGGACATTCCATTTCTGTGGACAAAATGCCTGTACCATTCCTAGAATTCTTGTAAACTCCACACAATACTGTACCATTAGGCTGCTCCCTGAGACGTCGCCAAAAGGCTTTATTGCTCGACAGTTGTACATGGTACAATGTGTAGCAAGGATGACAATGTGGTCTTTACAATCATAATAGTCTATTACTAGAAACTTTAACTACATAAATGTAACGTATCTATCTATCTATCTATATCTGTATAGCCGGTATAACCGCCTTTCGGCGTAACACACCAGCTTAACGTAAATTGCGTATTGACATGATGCACGTTAAACAGTTTTGTCTGTTACAATTCCCTCTCTCTTTTCTAAAGCATTACATACATATTGGCCTAGGTACATAGATATGGAGTCGGGACATGACATAAGTAGATTGAAAGTGTCTATGGTTGTCTTTGGCAAAGGGTTACTAGATTATACTCATGACTATATTCATTAATTTTTGTCTATCTATAGTAGATGTTCTACATCCACGTGCTTCGGTGTTTACTAGTGAATGTTACCACCTTCTCATAAGATCGCAGCTCTGTAACACTGATTTTTTTTATGACGATTTACCACATTTGTGGAAGGATTGACATAACAGGTGACTATCACCTCTTCAAAGATGTCAACCCCGAGACCAGACTGTAAGGCTTGAACCACTCACACCGGGAAGGTCCCCTATTTTCGATAAGTGCGGTGGGTTCTTTAACGTGCGTGGGGTGTGGCTCTCCCAAACACGGGACCTCCATTTAACGTCCTATCCGAGGGACGTCCCTAGCCGAAGCTAGGTACTCATTTACACCTGAGTGAAGTGAGGAAAGTCGTGTAAAGTGCCTTTCCCAAGGGCACAAGATCGGTGACATGGGCAGGGTTCGAACCCGCGACCTCTGGGGGTGTGAGCCGAACGCGCTACCGACTGCGCCACACGACCCCTTGAATTGACCCGCTGAAAATTACTTGACTCTGAGAAACCTAACCACCTCTGCTTTAAACGTAGATTGTAATCTTGGTGGTCTCTCTGTGAATGGTGGATCAACGTTATGAATATAAAACTGGAAGCATTTCGTAATGTATAATCCTATTATTATGTTTACCGAAGGAAAACATGTTGCTTTTGCTCTGTTTCCTCTTCTTCTTCTCCAAACCAATAAGGTCAATGGCCTGAACCGGACGTCTGTCACCATGGTTACTAGTGTTGGGTTTTTTAATTACACCATGTTGCAATTTTATAGCAGGAGGGAGTTAGACTCCTGTATGACCATATATATGGATGTGTGTTTGAGTAAGAACTAACAGAGCAGACCATATGCCAAGGTAAACGTTGTGCATTTGCTTTGCAAATGTTACCTTTCTAGTTGGTATGATGAGTTTCCTACTTTCTGAAAAGGCAATTTTTAGGGCTTGGAAACCCGATTTTTCAAAGTCAATATTCTAGTCATTTACCTACATACTGTGTTAAAACCACACTATCACAATATATTCTGACCCTCAAAGAGCGCAAATTCCCAAAATTCTGACAGAAAATGGTTACTGGAATGCATATGGCCCTGGGCTGATTTTTAGGGTACCACCCGAAAAATAAAGCACTCATCTCGGGGCTTATTTCTGCAATTTTAGATGCCTAAAGTATGACATACTGATTGAAATGTGCTGATGTGAAGCAATACGTGTCAGCATCACAAAGATTGCCTTATACAGAATACTTCCAGTTTTGCTGCCCTGAAATCGCATTGGATGCCTTTAATGAATTGATTTTCCCCTCGTAGTTTCTTGAGGAGCTCGGACAACCTATCAAGATATTCGCCAACGTTCTCCACGCGCATCTTCTGGGTGTTCAGCTCAACCTGAGGCTGATCCGTGATGGTGTGGAGACGGACATCTCGCGAGATGACAACTACGACTTCAACCTGCAGTTCGTCAGGAATCTGGAGGACGAGGTTGCCATCTACCCGGTAAATTACATTTTTTTATTTTTTATTTATTTTCAATTTCTTTATTCATAAAATGAAATCGTTTGCCTTGGATATGTTTCTATGTTTCTTATTCTGAGGTCACGACCAGCCTCGTTTTCGTGCAAGATCACGCAGATTCGCGTAGCGCTGTACTCTCGCGAGACCACTTTTCAAAATGGCCGCGGAGATTGGAATTATGTCTATTCCCACCCGGAGCCCGGCCGGGCAGCTTTCGGAAATGATAAGTACGATATAAAAGACAACAAAATACAGAAAATGTTTTTTTTTTTAATAATCATGAGCATTATTTCTGTATACTGTATTGTTCATATGAATTGTTGATTTTTTGTTGTAAAAACAGCCCGGCCGGGCCCCGGATTAGAAATGTGACCTAAGCATTAATAATCTAAAAGTATCGACAGCTAATAAACGACTTTTAAAAAGTCATTTACTCATATGTTTAAACTAGTGTTTTTTCGTTGAATTTTACAGGGAGACACTCTGGTGATGGAATGCAACTATCGTACCACTCACAAAGACAACGTTGTTTATGTAAGCTGAGTTTCTGCTTCTTTTGCCTCCGTGCTGCGCGTTGCACTTTCGTATACAATGTCGTCATCGTTGTTCAGTTACGTCGATGCTAAATCAACACAAAAATAATATCCGTTTCATCCCAAAATAGTTTCATCAGGTTGGTAAAGTGTATACGTAGGATACAAGTGTTTACACAAACAAGTTTCTCACCTAGAGTGCTGACGTTTCGGTGTCTACTCAGAGCTATTGACTGCAGTTCTGCTTTTCGCCGCTATATGTAGCCGATGTAGCTGGCGCTCTTTTGCGGCGAGAACACAATCCCAATCCCAGTCCTTGTTTAGGTTGTAAAGCAGCACTGTTCCAGGTCACTCATGCTGTGTTTCCACATGTGTGCATCCCACTACTAACAGGGTGGGTTAGGTACCCCGGAGGAGATGTGTATGGACTTCTTGTTCTACTATCCGAAATTCAACCTGGCCAACTGTGACAGTAAACCTTCTGTCAGCAGAACACTCAGCTTCGTAGGAGTGGAAGACTATAAAAGGTAAGTCTCAGCATCTTCTCACGGCTTCTACTTAACCCTAAACAGTACACCTGGGGTCCGCGCGGACCCCAGCACTATATATTCTGTAATATCTTTTTTGTTTCTAAAGATTTTTTTCTGAAATTTTAGGTAATTGTCACCCACAAAGTTGTCTCTCGATACAGTGCAGAAAACTCCGTTTCTACCATTTATAAAAAAATTATATCTGATTTTCTTTTGGGGTCCGCGCGGACCCCAGCCGGCTTTCGATCATAATGGATACACTGGCGTTCTTATACATTACCTTTTTTTCCGTTTTTATATGTTTTTATGCACTCATCGTATGTCTATCAAGTTTTCAGAGAATGGTGTAGTAATAGAATTGAATTTTAATAACTTTGGTGTAATTATGACGTCATATGACGTCAGAGCTAATAATATAGTCCGCCATATTGGATTTTGACCAATGACGTCATCAAATTAGCATATTCTATGCATATTAAATGATTTAACTTATATTTAATTATGTAAGATGTTATTAATGTTGGAAAAGAAGTGTAATTTTATATAAAACTCAGAAAATTTTTATGTTTAAACCAAAATTACTTCT